CTCGACTCGATCAAAAACTGAAATGACTCGACTCGTGACTCGACCTTTGAGTGACTCGACTCGTGACTCGACCTATAGGTGACTCGTTACAACACTGGATCTATGTCATTTCAAAGTTAGCAGCAATCACTATCTCTAAACTGTATCACAGTATTCATATCGTCCCACTACCTCCATCCAGCGTAGTGGTAAATATTCCACTTTATTATATAGTAGAGAATGAGATACTGAGAAATACATATGTTCCACATCTTCACTAGTGAAGATATCGATCACGTGACTTATACGTATTTATACAATTCACGTATTTATACAATTTTGTGCTTGGGACTATATAATAAACAGAACCGTGATTACACGGTAGCTTGAACTATGACTTTTATCTTCTCGTGTTAAAAACAATATTTTACTCACTCGCTGCGCTCGTTCGTAAAATATTGTTTTCACCACTCGAAGATAAAAGTCATATTTTCGCGTCGCTGTGTAATATCCTCTATATATATATATATGTATATTATAGTTCAATAATTGTATAGGTGGTTTGAAATCAATTTCTCAGGAATTAAAGCTAGACAAGCGGAGGCCATGCTGATGCCAAATTCAATAAAAGATATAATATTGTTTTGCCGCTGTGACGCAACGTATGCCTACAAACCACCTGTGGATTTTTTTACAATAGGTGCGATGTATATTCTTTTGGCTAAACCAAACTAATTCAAATAAATTAAGAACTAGAAAAGTTGCCATGCATTATTATCAATCATATGAACATATTTAATACAATTTGTGCTGATAAAAAGCAGTGGCGAAACTAGCCTTAGCAACATGCAGGTCATGCTATGCAAATTCTTCAGGATTTGCATTACCTTTAGAAATGTATTAACCGTCTTTAATTAACTTATTTTAGATGCAGGTTTATTAGCTTGGCCAGTTGCCATGGCTAGCTCGCCAATGATAAAAAGCAAAATTATTCTAGAAACTCGGTCATGCATACACGTACTAATCTCATATATATAGCTCAGTGCTATATATGTTTGAAGCCACGACGGCCTTCGTCGAGGCTCAATGCATTTTTAACACTCTGGTAAAACTCTACAGGCGGACTAGCAACTTAACTGAACCTGACAATCTCACATTTAGTACATGCGAAATATCTCCCCCATTAAATTGACCGAAAACATTAATGTTTTTCTTGTTCGCATTTACTCCACTATATTTATCTACAAATCAACATCAACAAAGTTTTGCAAATTTTTGCTGACCTCAGTAATAAAAACAGATCTCCTACTTAATGTCAATCATATGTTCCCATGTGACCATAATTCTCCAATCAGGAAGCTTCGTTTGTGGGCGGACGAAGTTTTTCAAAATTATAAGGCATGCCAGCAGGCATTTATTATCACTAGGCCCATATGAATAAACGCCTGTTTGCAGGCTACATTCGTCCTGTATCTAACGTCCTAGTTTCCATGCAGACTGGCAGTGAGTAACACCCACTGATCTGAAATAAGACTGGATAACGCATCTATAGTATACAAAAGTGAAGCCGGAAGTCACCGGCCGCCACCCGATTCTGGGGCCCCACTTTTGTATAGATTTGTATTACAGACGGTAGTTTTTCGCGTTTTTTGCTTTGGCTAAGTTTCCGATCGGGCCAATTTTACAATCACAACGATAGAAGCATACAAGAAGAATTTTGAGCAAAACATTTGGAGTATTATGGCTTTATAACGCCGCGAAACGGGATTTACAACTCTGAATGAGTGGAGAGCCTCAGACTTTGTTTATCAACACGAGCTCGTTTTGCTACTTTCATACAATTCAACTCAAAATATACAATAATTATTGTTACTGGGCGAATATTCTCACGGAATTTGAAGAAATGAAGCAGCTACATTGTGAACGAAAGCGTACAGAGGTTAGTTTTAAAATACCTCGAGGCTACTTCCATAATTATATGAATTAAAATAACATATTGAGTCGTTGTTTATAATTTGGATTAAAAATATTTCATTGTCACTTGTCTTCCTACTTTAAGACATATAAAACTTCTCGACAAGTCGCCTAGGAATTACCCTGGATTCCAGAGCCTTCGACAGTAAATAATAAATTGAAATGTCGCGAAGGCTCTGGTTCAACGGGGCGATTCTTTGATTAAGCCGTGCCAATCACAAAACAGAATTAGTGGTTTTAGTACAGATTAGTACAGGTTTTAGTACAGATTGTTTCCACATAATTCTCAGCACAATAGAAGACGGCGACATGGTACTTTCCTGCAGCTTATAATACTTCGAATATCTAATATCAAACAAACTGTAAGATAGCAGATGGAATAACAACTTTAAATAATAGATGGGTAAAATCACGAACATAATAGCGGTGAAAATGGTCGAATATAACTTCGTATGTAGAAATGCATTTGTTTCTACACATTGAAATTTTAATGATCCAGTGAAATCATATTCAGTTATCTGACAGCACAAGTACGGTCTATTCAAATCTCTCTCCCCAACATAACAGATTTCGTGACTTATCGGCTGCTTCGTGACCAGAAATATTTGTTGGAATATTTCTCCGACTATGAATTCATCCATATCCATTGACTTATTAAAGCATCCTTTACCATTTTCGTTGATGTGTAATTTAAGGTTTCTTCGACCAGCGTTCAAAGTCAATTTCACCTCATACAGCATTTCATGAAGCGCGTGGACAATTTCTCGACCAATGACAGTCACTAATGAGAACTGCGTGATCATAGAATCCCTCATCTTGTAAATATTGACGTAGACGAGTTCAAAATCCACTATGTTAACTGCGTCATTTTTCATAAATTGAATGATTTGCATAACTTCACTCCATTTCATATCAAGAGCGCAATCTTCGACAACAGGATTTGAAGTGCTAATCGTCGTGGTAGGAAATTCAGTGTTGTTGCTCATACTCGAGTTACCTTCGTTATGAAATGTGTCTTTGTTTGAAGGAGCGGACATGGCAAAAGACATAAGCCAACAGTAAATGAAGATGACACAGAACATATTGATGATTTGATGCCAATATACCATCCTCGCGATATAGTCGCGGCTATTCTCAATTGAATACTATACCATGCTGTGTCATAGAGTGTCTCAAATATGGCGTCAGATCGATTCCGCCAATATTGATGTTGATATTAATTCAACATGTAGTTTCGAAATTGAACATATTGAAATTCCGCATGCCACTTTAATCCAACGTTGCTTCAATTTCAACATGTTTCCCTCATTGATGTTAATTTGAATATTGAACATTTGAACATATCAAATTTAAGTGAAATACAACATTGAAGTATAGATTTTGAAGTAATTTTCAATGTTGAAGTTTCAAAACAGGTTGAAATCAAAACGCATCACTACATGAATTTTGGAAGTGAATATTGGTGGTTCAGTAGCCTATAGCACCGGGTTAAATATCCGCCAATATAATATTAATTAACTTCCCTCTGGCTCTGGCACTCGCCTGCGACTTAATTCTTATATATGGCGGTTACGAACGAGCGGAATGATGAAAAACATGAAATAGTTGGTGCACTGAACATTATTGAGGATATAATATCGCGATTAGACAGCCTTGGTGACCCAGATTGTGTAGAGGGAATGGCAATACGATTCGACGTTTTAAAGAGATATCTTGTAAACAAATTAGAATCGACGACATCATGCATATTGGAATTGCTGGACATGCAGGGATTGCCAAAATTTAAACCAATTTGAGCAGCGGCAGCGCTATTCCGCTCTGCATTTCCAGCACAAGTTTACACTGCATGCCGTGGAAAACATTCGTATGATATACACGAGGGGCAATTGAATTCTTTGTTGGAACAAGGTTTCAAAGTTAGCGAAGTAAGCAGTACAATGGGTGTACGAAAAAGAACTTTAGAGCGGCGAATGAGGTCATTTGGCACGAGTGTGTCAGGTAAGAAAGCAGTTATCAATCAATCAATCAATCAAACTTTATTTACCCACGGTACTATTTCACAAAGAGAAAAACTAAAATATTTACAAGATGTGATCTTCCAATAGGCCGTGCTATATATGTATGAATAATTACATGCAATTATAAAAATATTTTATTAAGTTAATACAATAAAATCGAAGAGAAAAAGAAAAAAGATAAATTGATTATCAAGAATTATTACGACAATTTGACACTAGAGCCCTTTTGAATGAACCCATTTTTTTATATTAGGTAATAAATCATCCCACTTTGCTCCTCTGTACGAGAATGATTTTTTACAAAAGTTGGTACTTGGCCTCGGGAGTGCGAAGTTAAATTCAGCCTGCCTAGTTTGATGATTATGAAGTGTACTGGTTTTCGTGAATAAATCAATTAGGTAATCAGGCACCATATTATTATTTACCTGATACATAGTAGTACATAATTGATTATTTCTTCTGAGACTTAAATTAGGTAAATCTAATTCTTTAAGTATATCGACTAATCTAAATTCATACCCACGCTTTGTAATGATACGTGCTGCTCTATTTTGTAAACGTTGCAACTGGTTTTGAAGGGTAATTCCAAGACAACCCCATACTTGCGAGCAGTAATGAAAGTGTGGTTGAATTAAAGTTTTGTAAACTGTTACTAGAGTCCTTACATCAACAAAATCTCTTAATCGTCTAAGGACGTAAAGACCCTTGTTCACTTTCTTTGTAATTAGATCTGTTTGAGAATGCCAGGTTAAGGTCTCATCTACCATCATACCCAGTGATTTAGTAACGGTTACTCGTTGAATAGGCGTATCTCCAATTTTTATTTGCAATTCGGAGTTACACTGTTTAAGTTTTTGATGTGATCCAATAAACATATATTCAGCTTTGCTTTTGTTCAGGCTCAGCTTGTTGGCCGCCATCCAAACTGAAATATTTGCTAGGTCATCATTTAACGTTTCAAAAATTACTTTTGACATCCTTATTTGCCGTTCCTAATTGAGTATCATCAGCAAACATGTCACAATCCGCACTTTTTAAGCAATTTGGCAAGTCATTTATGTAAACAAGAAAGAGTAAGGGTCCAAGAATTGAGCCCTGCGGAATACCAGTAATTATTGTTCGTGGTTCAGACAGTTTGCCATTAACTTGACAATACTGGGTACGATTAGACAGATAGGACCTAAACCAGTCATGCGCCTTACCTCTCACTCCATACAAATATAATTTTTTTAATAAAATACCATGGTCAACGGTATCAAATGCTTTTTTTAGATCTAAAAAGACAACTCCATTGATTAACCCTTCATCCATATTTTGATACCAATGGTTTGTCATTTTTAACAATGCAGTAACAGTGGAGTGGAGAGGTCTAAAGCCATGTTGTGCATTAGTTAGTATGTTTGCCCGTTGTAAATAGGAATATACCTGGTTATGTACGAGTTTCTCCATTGTTTTGGCAATTACCGAAATAATAGATATAGGTCGATAATTATCCATATTAGATTTAGGGCCACTTTTGTAAATTGGGGTGACTCTTGCATTTTTCCACTCACATGGAAATATGCCGGTGGATATAGACCTATTAAATATTGTTGTCAGCGATTTAGCAATGTAAGGTGAGGCCAGGTTAATAAGTTTTGCTGGTAATCCATCTAGGCCCGATGCCTTAGTAGA